CAAACAAAAACACAGAATACCAAGCACGTGTGTTAGGAGCTGGGATGGGTCTCTAAGGACCGAGTTGAGAAACACCGCACCAGACCACAGCTACACCTTCAAGAAAATGAACACATCTGTATTACATAAAGGGAGAAAGAGGGCACCTCGTTCATGACCGTGTCTGCTCCAATTATGTAGTCCGTGTGCGGCCGCAGTCCAGCCAGGGCGGCCGGCGAATTGGCCTCCACTTCCTGTCGATGACAGGAAACAGGGCTGACGTTGCGTGCAAAATCCCCCAGTTGTGACAGCAGAGGCATTTCAGACAGCAGAGGCCTTCACCGCATAGCTACACACGCTAATGACTTTCAGGGCCATTTATTACGGCACAGATTTCCTTGTTTGTTTTCGCTGGGAGCGGTAGATTTGCGGCGCTCACGAGCGGCAAGAGAAACAGATGGCAGAGGCCTGCTGGGAAACGCAGTTCGCAGGCTTGAGGAGGAAATACATACAAGATGCCTGCTGTACCGAATAGTAATGAATACAGCCCAAAGCTCGCGCACGTCAAATAAGACCCCTGGGTTCAAGCAGATTATTCAGAAGAGAAGCGGAGCGGAATAGCGACACTTTATTCATCTGCATGGAGAAACTGGGTTTACAGCTTACCTATTCCGCACCCCGTGAGACACAAAGACTTCACAGACAGCTTACTCTACAAAGAGCACGTTGAGGGAGGCGTAAAAAAGACAATTTCCCCACGAGGATCAAAGTATTGATGATTATTATTATAATTTACACAGACATTTCGTCATTTTGGTGAAGCGGGAGCAACATACAGAATGTATATAGAGGAGAGAAACTGAAACTAAAGTATCGACCCCATCACGCTGGTATCAATCCGATAACAATACCAGTATTGGTATCAATACTATCGATAGTTGGATCAACACACCCACCTCTAACAAAGACATATATACATGTCAGGGCAAGATGGGTGGGCAGTCAGCCAGTGTCCAGCGCCACTAGAGTTACTGGGGGGTTAAGGACCTTTCTCAGGGCCCAAAAGACAGCATCTCTCTGCCAGCCACAGGACTTGAACCGGCAACCTTCTGATCACAAGCACTAACCCACAAAGTCACTAACCCATACAGCCCCCTACAAAATCAATGTTAGTCATATTAACCAGAAATCTGCCCCCAACCTTGACCTTTTCCACAAATATTAACCTATTATTTTTGCTCACCTGTATCTATCTCATGAGGAAAAAAATAGGATATGGAAAGTTTATCTGGTGACCTGATTTTAACAAGCTTGGTGCCAAAGGCTGCCAGGGTCAGCTGACTTGATTTTCCCCTAAATAAGTTACGCAAAAAGCAGTCTGGTCAATGTACTAGTTCCGAAATATGTGCGCAAAACATCACCAGCCTTCAGTAATGGCATGTAGTGCTGTGGAAGCTGCTTCCTGATTGGACGCGGGTATACCCACCAGCACATGCCACACGTTCTCATTGGCTCCCTCGAAACTGCAGAAGCGGATGCTGACCCCCAGCAGCCCCTGGCCGCCCCACATGTTGCTGGGTGTGACAGCGGTCTCCCTCAGCTCCAGTGTTTTGCTGCTGTACACCAGCATCTTCACAGGCTTTTCCACATTCACCTTCAGAAGGTCCTTCAGAGTGTCATTATCTTTGTTCTGCTCCAAACAATGAATAATAATAATAAAAAAACATTAGTGTCCCAGTATAAGTGAGTATTAGTCACAGAGACTAAAAGAACATGGTGAAGATAATGCCAGTATTATTGAAGGCAGACCAGGCTTGCAAATTACAGCTCTCGGTCAACATGAAATCTGAAATATTCTCATAATTACTTCATGTTGTGAAAAACACACTCAGAAACTATAATCTCACAAAGGTTAAGGTGAACCGCATCCTCTCTGCCTTGATCAAAAATGTGGATGATCTGAAAAGGTCCTCCAATTAACTTGTAAGGGGTGAAATCACCACAATGGGCATAACAATAGGATTTATGACCCACGCCCCCTACAAGACATCTGTGAAACAATCTTGTGTGTGCAGAAAACCGGTCCGTGTCCAAAGAGACACTGCACAGACCAAGCTGCTACAGAAAATGGATGGAGGCATACATTAAGATATAGGAGCCCTTCCGTTAACGAGCACCGCTCTCTAAGTACCACAGTTCTGATTCTGTAGTGCTCTTTTGCAGCACTACGAACACTGACTGTCATGAATCTCCAGCATTAATACAGGTTTTGTTCTGTCAAGGGAGGGGAAGAACGTACCAATCTATTGTTATTTATAGAAACAATGAAGTCAAAGAATGGCTCCAATCCTGCACGGTGACCTGGGGAATTCTCTTGTACCTGTAGAAAACGAGACCAAGTTTCAGAAACGGTTAAACACCTGGGTGGGAGAATGACTGTTTTTAACAGGTTCTGGCCCTAAAACACTGCTTTAGTGTCGCCCAGTCAATGTAATACAACTTAAACAGTACTTAAATTGTTATAACATAATAAACGAGCTTTTAATCTGAATAAACTCAGGAAACGAAGGGAATCACACAGCAACGGTGGCAACAAAGATCAGAGCTATGTGGGACCCACAGCCCTGCCTAACAAAACAGCCACCTTAACATTTTAACACCAAACACGTCGACACGAGGAGGACACGGGATAACGCGGCGCACCTCGCTATTGCACCGGGGCCAAAAGAGTAGCAGACCAGGGTCTCATATACACCAGTAATCACACACAGTATATTTAACTAAAATCTAACTAATTCATCTGTCAATCGCTGGCTGAGGTGCCAGGTGGCATGCTGTCGATTATGGCCTACCTTTGTATTACACGGGTCACATTCTAAATAAAGAGCTGTCAGTTTACTGAAATGATTTTAAACATATAACATGAATATATTGAGTCAGAATCGGTTCGCCAGTGAGTTAGCCCTCGGTGAGCACCGCTAAATATCAACTAGAAATGGAAAAAACGAGTGCAAAACTGCACGTCATGCAAATTTTTAGTAGAAAACCTTAATCGTGTTTGACATAAACTAAAGTCGTGCAGTGAGTTAAATACACTTGCGATTGCAGCGCTCCCGCATCATTAGTAGGCCGCAGCTCAATCCCCGTGTTCGGTTAGCGAGCCGCGCGGCGTCCAAGGGCTCGGAGGCCGCCTAAACGCAGATCACGCCAAGGCTTCAGCCCGACAAATGACGGCATGAAGAATAAAGTCGCCTACTCTGAGGACGTGGTAACCCTCCGACCCTCCTCCGGGAATCTCGACACTCTGCGATCCCCCCATTTCTCCCCCGGTTCTTCCTCGTTTGTGGCGAAGACGCGACTCTTCCCCAGTAGCACGGCCGAGCTCTGTCCGCCGCCGGTGTTCTTACGTGGCACTGGGATCCAGGAAGCACGGACGCCGGAACGCGCACTTCTCGAGCCGGGCTGTAGGGGGCGCTACGGGACACGGAGGGAGGCGATTAGTATTGCTGGTGTAGGTGTGTTATTACTGTTCCTCCACGTTACGTTGCATGGGGTTTATCCAAATATAACTAATTATCTTTACAGGAATAGAAGACTGGGCAAAAGCGTTGAAAATGGGACTTGAACGTTGCTGATTAATCATCTATGTTATTATACAGCTCCGTTTTTTAACAAGCCGAGACCAAGTTGTAGATAGAATTGTAATAAATATTTTCAAGACAGAGATCTTCTTTAGATATATTAAAGAAACATGCTAAAATTATTGTTGCTCGACACTGTAGATGATATATACAAAAGTAAGGAACGGAAATTCTTTGCAGGGTCTGCGGTGGTCCGATTTCTTTCAGCGGCCCCAAGATATGCTCCGCTGCCTTGTGTCTTGTGCTTTGTTTTTCTGGCTGCATGTTGCCAGGGTTGCGGGGTAGACAGGCACATGCAGAGAACAGAGATGCTAATTCGTCTAACTGCGTGTATTTAGACTGCAGGAAGACCCTTGTGCAACTTAGGAAGAGCATGCAAACTCCACGCATACTGGGGCTGGATTGGACCACAAGACCCTGTAGGCAACAGTAACATTAGACTTTAGATTTATTATTTTTTAATATCCGATGGAACTAGAAAATATGAACCATGTATTTGAAGTTTGTACAAATGAAAGGTGACCTGGCACATTTTCAGAAAGCACTTACAGTCATAGAAGTCATCGGCACAGATCCAGCCCACAGAAGTAAATGATAATGGTAATAATGATAATGATGATAATTAAGACAAATACCATAGCTACTAAGACTGCAGATGTTTTCTTTCCAACCACGTTTACCATTTTTGGCAAACATTGTCACTAAAATATACAGAGAGAGGACAATATAAGCCAAAATGCAGTTACAATCCTACACAACAGATCATCCATCCATTCAGCCATCCATCCATCCATCTTCCAACTGCTTAATCAGTACTGGGTTGTTGGGGGTGGTTCCTGACACAAATCATAGGCAGCATGGGGCACCGTGCAGGGGGAGACTCTAGTAGGGATGGCAGTAGGTGCCAATCAGTGATTTATAAACATTTTTATTTAGGCACAAGAGTTACATTACTAGTGGGTTTGAATATCACAACAAGAGCTGTTCCTGATACCTACCAGTGACTGACACCTCACAAGTAACAATATATTTTATTTTCTTGCATTCTCCATTATGTAAATCTAACACTATCCTTCCTATGATATTTGAAGAATATTTAATAGAATTTTTTTGGTGAGATAAATAAGCAACGACTATAAGATAATGAAGGAAAAAATGTAAATAAACATGAAGGAATATACTGCTGAATTTTGCTGAAATTGACCAACTTGGGAAATGGTTCAGCTCTGCAGTGAGTGCAATAGATAAAACAACAGAAAATGAAAACACATAGATGAAATGGGAAATGAAAAGATGAGCAGTCTTGGATCTGTGAAAATTGTCTAAGTTCATTTCATTGTCTCGGCCCGTCTGGGGCCCCCCCACAAAGCTAAGGCGTTGTTAGCTTCTACAGCCAAGCGTACATCACGGAGTTCTTGCAGAAGGCTCTGTCTTTGCTTTTGTGTGTGCATACAGTCATATATAAATTGCGATTCTGCTGTTTCTCTAGCTAGCTCTATCAGTATCTGTACCCTGGTCCAAAGGTGTACATTCAAATTTCTTCTAATCGTGTATCCTAGTCATCGTTGTGGGGGATAACATTTATTTATTGTTTGTTATAGTTTTTTATTGTAATTTTGTTACAGATTGAAGAACAGATGACTGGAGACTTTGTTTTCCATTTGGAGTATTTTAGCAGAACAATGCAAAATATATAAAAAAAACACTTCAATATAGCCAACTTTTGTATTGTATTGTATTGTAGAGACAAACTGGATTCAGAGACGCCTTCATACTCTGCTGTTTGTGAGCAGCTTTTTTGTGCATTATGAAAAGACCAATTTTCAGGCCGGGATGAAATCTCAGTGGCATAATGGTTTCGGCTTTCCCCGATTCTGCACCTCTTCCAGTCGCCACCGTCCCCGAATCTAAACATAAACGATCATTATCCTTTGATCCATTTCACTGCGGCGTGGAAAATAGCCGTGATCTCCGGCCAATGCTTTCAGGGAAAAACGCTGGAAATTGCACGGCGGGCTTATGGATTTTTAGGGATCCATTTTGCTTTTTTTTTTTTTTCCTTTTTCAGAGAATCTGGAATGGCTGACCATTGTTATATTGTTATGGCTGATCACGTGACGGGCATCGATGGTCTTGTTGTTTTTCCCTGCATGCAACGTAAAACACCTTATTAAAATGCTGTGCCGTTGCCTATCACACCTTCCCTGATTCTGAGCCTCTGCCGCACTTTGAGGTTTCTTAACGAGTGTCTTCTTCCAGCAGCACATAGCAGGATTTTTATATAATAATATGTGGTTGACAGATTTGCCTGAAGGTGGGGGCACCCTGGATGTATGATGGCAGGTACATGTCCCTCCAGTATTGTGTATTGAGTGTTTACAGGGGTAGGGGGGTCCAGGCTGCTGTTCACATAGGTTACATTTTGCATTTGTAGTGAATTTGCACCTGCTGTTTCTTGTATTTGTAACATTTATAAATAATCATGGGTATATCTCCAAGGTTAAGAATGCCAGCTGCAATGATTTCCCTCTAAATCCATTGGAGGGTTGAGCCACCCACCCTGACAGCAATAAGGGGGGGGGGGGGGGGCAGACATGACAGGGATCAAAGATGTGTGGATGCAGCCCCTGTCACCTCGATTCTAGGGTATTCCGTCTCACAGGCTGCAGCTGTGGGCCCCATTTGAATTCGTGAGCTAATGCAGATCTCCTAAATTGATTTTGACGCGATTAATAGCGGCCATGATTGTGGACAGGAAATCAGTTTAATTCAGTAGCAGACGTGTTTTGAAGAGACACTTCTTTGTGACAGTTCATTAACCCCGGGGGTTGGGGGGTGGGAGGGGGGCAGTGTTTAAGCAGGCCATGGAAGACTGAGCTCCTCTGTCTGGGAAGCTGGTCAAAAGGAGCCGGGGGGGAGATGGGGTGGGGGGGGGGTAGAGAAAAGGCGGAGGCACAGCAAACAAGGCAAACAAGGGTAATAATAAAATACTCAGTCATATAATTGTTGCTGTTAATTACAGCTTGAAATGAAAGGAAAATGGTCAGTATGAGATCTATGAGCTTCCATCCTTCCATCGCTTAAGTACAGGTACAGGATGGTAGTCTAGACTCTCGGGTAGACCTGTGACTGTTTGCCTCACATGTTATCATTCTCGGCACAGCTATTTGGTGCCTTGCAGCTTGGGAAAATATGGGACCGCAATATGGACGTGTACATTTTACATATTTAGCAGTTGCTTTTCTCCAAAGCGACGTACAAGTGAGACAAATAGCATATTGCAAACATAAATGCTGCTAAAGAGTCAGCTAGGCATATGAGCAGCATTAGCCTTAGCATTAGCTTTAGCCTTAGCATTAGCTTTAACATTAGCATGCTGGACACACGCTTTACATGACAAAACTGCTCTTGCCTATTTGTAAATTCCTCTCTTTAGCCTTGGCCTGCAGCTCAGTGCTACTGTCAGACCGGGTCAGCTGCCATCTTTTATTACCCCAAGCGTGATCTGTTTGGGGTCGCCCACGGGGCTGCATCATTATAACCTCATAATGGCTCCTCGTTCAGTATTTCAGCGAGTCCTTGCCGTAGAATAATTACTCTTGGTACTTGCTGATTCCTTCAAGGTAATAGAAAACAGGAGCTAATAGCTTGCTTTCCAGTTTAACAAGGTACCAGTTTGGGATTTGCCCATTGCTCCAGGGGAGACTTAAGCAAGTCAATACAATTAATCTCTGCTACATATTTCTTTATTTGCATGTAAAATTAGTTAACACATCACTGTAAGCATTGCAGTTTAACTGAATGAGCATGAATTGTAACAGTAATAAAATTAGCATTAATTAATAAGGTAATTTCACTGATGTCACTAATTTCAAGGAGGATCCTTTTTTATTCTTAAACTCGTGCATGTTCTGTAATGGTCCAGCTGCATAAAATAGTGATTTATGTACTGCGTGTTTTTGTCTAGAAAACAATGCTATGTTATTTAAGAGATTTAATATCATCTTGAATAAACTTTCTTCATCCGGAAGGATTTTACAGCCATGATATGAGCACAAAAGCTTTTATGGGCTTTTTAATTCTGCTTACTTTTTATGTCTCTGCTCCTTAACTACAACTGGAAATTATGTTGGGATTCATATTTTTCCTTGAATTCCTTTCAATAAAACCCATTAATATGAATGGCATTTGACTGCAGCCCAGGTCAGTGGCTTTTTATGAAAACCATAATTTTCCACAAGTCAAGCTTTGATGGGATCAATAGCCAGTCGCCTTTAGCGTAAACCAGCAGTACGCGCTGCATATCGAATTAAAGGCACGAAAGATGAAGGGTGTGGCGTGTAGAACACAGCGGATACACGGCTTGGGGGGTCACACCTGCAGCGATCTCCCTCCTTAGACAGCTGTAAATCTGCTCCCTCATTTGGGTTTCAGTCTCTTGTACTTTGTGGCTCAGTGGCTTAGGACATGGTGCCTGAGATCAGAAGGTTGCTGGTTCAGAGGGGCGGGGCCACAGGAGCAGTGACCCCAGATGAAAACTGATTGGCCCGTGGTGTGCCCCCTCCCCTGTCACTCACCAATTCTAAACATATTATTGGCTAATGATAAGGTTTGCCCCATCTGTATGCATTGTGGCCCCTCTTATGCCTGTCCACCATAAAAATGATTAAATCACCCCTGTCAGTTCAAATGCTAGGGTTGTCAAAATGATTTCTCCATTGGGCCCTTGAGCAAGACTCCCAATTGCTCCAAGGACTGTCTGACCCTGTTTCCTCAATTAAAAAAAACAGTATGTCGATTTGGAT